AATGCACATTTCCCAGTGGGAGTCAACCTAGCTTGAATCTGCCATTAAAAAATAGGGGTGTTTTCAGCAAAAAACGAATAATCCTTGAGTGCACACAATACACTGAATTTTAGAACAAATCTTGAATTAGTTACAGCAGCAGAATACCACAGAAATATCAGACGAAACATGAAAACACTATATATTGTATTTTGGCCTGAACCCTCTCTATTGCAATTCCAGGGATTATCCCCATTTGTGCAACCATTTCTCACCTTCGTATCACCCAACCCTGAAAACAAATTCTTAATACCACGCTGAAGCGTTTGGTAATGAACATACCAAGTTTGAAAATGTACACTAAAATATTGAATGTCAGTGTCCAATTTAAAATATCCTTGTTGTTTAGAATTATCAATTAAATGAACCCAACATGTGAGTTTTGGCGGATTTTCAGTATTCTAAATAAACATAACTTTTCACCAATAATTATTTATCGAGTATGGTAGATACAATCTAGGGAGTAGATACAATACAACGAACTACATCAACATAAACGTTTTTATATGTAATATGTGTCTAGCCAGTATTATTGTGTAGTAAACTGGCACTTTGCTACTGATTGTTAGACTTTCAATATTTTTTAATGCATGTGTTTGCTGTTTATTTTTTCAATGTTGTCAAAACAAAACATACATCTTTTTCAGGTCAGTGTAATGTTATTTATTTTTTTACAGCATTTTGAATTTTCTGTTTCAAATCAAACCAGTCTATATAAACTACATCTGTGGTCAACATATACAACTATTATTATATTGTCAGAAAATATTGAATTAGGATAATAAGGTTATTGTTTGAATTGTGTATTGAGTAAGTAAGTGTATTGAAATGGTAAAAACTCTATTGATTTAGTAGAATGCAAATTCTGCCATATGCGATTTAATTGACTTGCATGCATGTAACTGATGACTTTCATGTGTATGGCACATGTCGGCATGTGAGCTTTACTTCCCATTGTCAGCTAAACTATATGAACTATCAATGGGTAAGGATCCTGGGACAAGATAGAATTTGACTTCCAAATGTACAGGCGCAAGCCATTATTTAGATTAGTAATGTTAGTTGTTAGTAGTCAAAGTGTGTCATCAATTTATGTCTTGGATATATGCAGATATTTGTCATGTAGCATTTACGTCACATGTTTTAGCTACCATTTTGAACTTTTAACCAAAATGAAAAAAAAATGGTATTTTTTTAGGAGTTTTTAAGCCGATCAATAATTGGTATATAGCATATATGACCATAACATTTTACAAGAGTAAATGTCTTTATTTTGATCGACCACATGGTTCGGTCACCAACTTGAATGTTCGCCAAAAATTACCTCAATTTGAGGCATTTCTGTCCCATGGATGCTTTTACCGATCAAAATGTTCTTGTAGCTGAATAACGGATAATCGTCTGAAATAAATAACTTTTATATCAACGGAAACACATTTAAGCATATGGAGTCTTCAAAGACCCGAATAAGCTACTCTGTACTCTATTTATGTCTTGGCTTGAGGTTAATAAGTAATGAACACTATTTTCCTCTTAGCATGAGTTTTAGAACATGATTGAAAGGATAGTGTGACATCTCATGATTAACAATCCGTGATAAAAACGAGTGTTAAATTGACAAAACAAGGATTATTTAAGAAAACAGGTGTGTAATTGTTGTTACCATAGCCTGTAATATTGAGTTTGCATCATGTTTTAGGTTCCATTGGTTCATCAGTAGCAGATGGCATTGACACATTAGTGATAAGTACTGATTATCAATTATATCAGACAACATTGGAAATAAAATCATTTATAGGACCATTAACACCTAATGTGCCATTGATAGATGTTGACATGTCCCCGGACGGATGGCTCATTGGTGTAACAGTTGATTATGAATTAGTACATATGTTGTCATTGGAAAATGCTGTGTGGTCAAATCCAATTCCAGGAAGTGCTAGAGTGATCAGCGCATGTGTAGATGAGCTGGGATACATCTTTGGAATAACTGCAACTAAAACGTTGAAAAGGAGATTTGATGTCCAATCAGCATGGTCGATTGTGGCCAATGGGTATGCGGAACAGGTCATAAAAATAACCGTCAACACAATGCTGTACGGAATCACACGAAACAGCCTCCTGTATTTTGATCAATCTGGTTCATGGATTGATACTGGAACTGATTTTGGTGGCAATGCTATTACAGATATTGCATTTGTCAATTCAGAACTATTTGTCCAAGTGGTAGAGACTATTGAACTCATAGCTATATGTTACATTGGACAACAACAATCATCACAACCGAATGGAGGATCTAGTAGTACAAGTGTTGGTAAATACACACGTTTGTTTTATTGCTTATTTTATTTTACACATATTTATAGTATGTATTTCAATGCACGACCCCTTCTTTCCATCCCCTCAGTAAAGCCGCGACCCCCGCTGGTGCAACTAACTCTCAACATTGTTAATGATCGGACTGTTTTGCAGCCATCTTCGATTCAAGTTAAACATTACGAACCATTTGAATCTTTACGTATTGTGATATTTGTAGTTGTATTATCGATATATGGCTACCCATGTTATGAATACAAACGTTAGTAGCGGTCATGTGACTTTTCTGTTTTTGTAGTTGCTAAAATCGTCTCCTCAACCATTGAACACATGGAATTTATTTTTTAGCATGTATGTATAATGCTCATTACTATTTACAAATCTCTTTGTGACTGATCACGTGGTGTGGTTACCATCTTTGATTTATTTTACTAATGCCATATTTATCCGATTATTTTGAAATCTGCCATGTATCATTTCTATGCTATGAATTCTTTGAGGCAGAAAATAATTAATTCGGCTGACTCACATTATTTTGCGCCATCGGGGTAAGTGTTTCTCATAAGAGCTTTTTAACCAACCAATTGAATATTTATAATGTAGAATATAGGATCGTACCTGTTTAGAAATAAAATAAAGTAATATTGATCAAATCGTTTTTAGGTGCTAATTTGAATTTTAAAATTGGTAACAGTTTGGGCGTTTATATCTTATGAATGCTTCAACCAGTCAACCTGCTATTTTTCATGTAGCATGCATGACCGAAGCATCTTCTTAACACAATAAACATATACATCAGTGGGTAAATCAATGGGCATATTCAGTTTTTAAAACTAGGTTCCGATAAAGTTGCTTGAACGCTTTAATTATGATTATTATGCATTGGTATCATGTTAATAAGTGGGGAGCACTATTTTCCCATTAGTATACGTTTTAGAAGCATGATTAAAAAAATGGTGTGACATCCCAAGATTAACAATCCATGGTTAAAATGAAGAGTTACCAATCAAATCATTGCGCTACAGCTGCGATATACTAAAATATCCCCATAACAATGCTTTGACGAGATATAAATACTAAATTAATTTAACGTGTTTCCAAGGTTAGACTTGAAGACAAACATGCTTAATTAAGGAGCCCGTATCAATTTAAAATGTTTAGAGCATAAATATAAGGTCAATGGAGTAGATTTTTGGAAACTGCAGTGCAGCGTGCCCCTCAGCAAGCAATAATAGTAATGTCGTATGTTAAATGTGTGGCTGTTCAAAATTATTGTACGATATTCAGTTGCTTTTTGAAATAATATTTTGATGATTTTATATGCCTAATGGTAATTACACAATATAAAAAAATGTTTACCATGTTGAATCGATGAATTTGTCATAAGCAAATATATCCATTATTATGTACAGAGAAGACATTGCAAAATATTGCATTGGTTACACTCGTCCAGTCACCTGCATGGTTTCACCTGCTATGTTGTTTCTTCAATATCTCACAATACACATTGTTACCCATAATACTACGCAATTTTAATTAAGGATATTGGTTTAGCAACAAATACTCAGCAAATAAACTACACATAGTATGTGGAGGTACCTATGCAATTGATGGAATTTCCGGGTGAAAGAAGGTACAAACATATACCACTCAAATGTGAAGTAGTATATTACTCTGTTCAATTCTCTACGTCCACAAACTCCCGTTCTTGCGTTTAATTACTCATTCCACGTTGCATATTGTCGTATAATAACCCCTGAACCCCCCAAAAAGGTGTATTTATGAAAATATTATTAATATCTAATTTGCATCATGTTTTAGGTTCTGCTGGTTCGTCGGTAGAAGATGGCATCGACACATTATTGATATATACTAATAATCAATTATATCAGACAACATTGGAAATGAAATCATTTATAGGACCATTAACACCTAATGTTCCCTTGATTGACATTGACATGTCCCCTGATGGATGGCTAATTGGTGTAACAGTTGGATATGAATTAGTATATATGTTGTCATGGGAAAATGCTGTGTGGTCAAATCCAATTCCAGGAAGTGCTAGTGTGATCAGCGCATGTGTAGATGAGCAGGGATACATCTTTGGAATAACTGCAACTAAAACGTTGAAAAGGAGAATTGATCTCCGATCAGCATGGTCGATTGTGGCCAATGGGTATGTGGAGCAGGTTATAAAATTAACCGTCAACACAATGCTGTTCGGACTTACACCAAACAGTCTACTGTATTTTGATGAACCTGCTGGTTCCTGGATTAATACTGGAATTGATTTTGGGGACAGTGTTTTGGTAGATATTGCATTTGTTGATTCAGACGTTCTTGCCCCATTGGAAGCGAATAATGAAATGATTGCTATATGTTACATTGGACAACAAACATCATCACAATCTAATACTGGTAAATATAAACAATTGTTTTTTGAGTATTGTATTTTACCCATAGTACATTTTTTATCACTTCACAGAATCACTCCTGTATCACGATAGCTCAGATTGAAACCTTTTATGCATTATCATGTTATAACACAAATTTGGGAATCACATTAAGAATACAAACTGCGCTATTACAAACCAAAGTTTCGTCATCCTCACACTTAATCAAGTTGTCACATGTTACGTAATACTCCTAAAATGACATCTACATCACAGACCCAGTGATAGAATACATTAATACTTGGGTTTAAAAGGAAGCTAAATATGTCATTTTTAAATATTCACGAATGAACCAACTTCTGGTTTATGTAATCAATTTATGCATTCATGATATTACAAAAAAATTGTTCTATTGATGGAAATGTCGTTGTCAAACAGTTAAAGTACGTTACCGTACTGGTAAACGGCCTCCTGGTGCATTGTGTTATGTTCTATAAATATAATTAATGTTCCAATTCATAGTTTGGTTTCCCAACACTGTATCTGATATGAAAATGGCTAGTATTTTGTTGATTTATACGTCTTGTTTATAGTAGTAGTAGTAGTAGTAAATGCAAAATCTGCCAAGTTTGTATGAAACCTTAATATGTCGTACATGTATTCGCATTTGATAAACTCGCAACTTTACAGACACAGAGACTCAATTTTTGAACCATTACATAGATGTATTTCCAACCCTATATAAGGTGTTCTCGAAGAACGTGTTCTTGGAACGGCTTTGAGTTTTCCATTAATACGTTTTTGAAATCTTTTTGTTTTTTGGATTTTCTAATCTCCTTATAGTGGTTTGGCGAAATATATGCTTGTTTTTTTATTGCGCAATTTCGAAAATAAAAGTGATAGGCCCTTCATATACTTTACTCAAGCACATTAAGGAGATGCAATTGTCAATTAGAATGTAACATAAAAAAAGGTTTTATAACCATACAGTTTACAATTTAAATCCAAAGTTTTTCCAAGTTAAGTGTTTTAGAATTTCTTATATCGGATCGGGCTACACCTTTAATAATTGTTTGACACTGAAAAATGTACTGACCCTTGTACTTGTCGTCAGTAAACACTGATGTAATAATATACAACACAATTGCAATTTATTCTGACAGTTTATTTCCTTCTGAGCAAATATATAAGGGTTTCATGCGCATACATCTCCAGTTGACAACACATACATCTATTGAACACATACATAAAATAAGTGAGTTGGGAATCATATCGTAGCCTTCATTGAATGACAGACGCGAACCCACGATATGCATAAACTAATCACTTCTGATATTCTGTTCTGGTAACGTGTATTTATTGGGTAAGATAATTTCATGACAACAAATACGCACCCAATCTTTTCACTGGGGCTATCTTCATAGAGCATTACACTAATCATCAGCAGACCCCTTAGAAATGAAATCGAATGAATTGTATGACTATCAATCGGAAAATAACTTTGCATCATCATAAACAATGTACTCCAATAATGATTAGTTAATGTATAGTTAATGATATCATAACGTTATTTAATATGATATTTTATATGAAGGTACCATTGAAGGGACAATAAAACATTGTTATTTATCCGACAATTTACAATGTTTTTTTTGGGGGAGTCAAATTCCTTCTGCTAAATTGTTTTTTCAGCAGCGGAAGTATTTCTGCCAGTATGCCAGTTTGTATTCCGACTGTAGAATGCAACAAAATTCACTTCTAGCAAACTACCTGAGACACTATTTACACCACTTGGTTGGGGTATGATAATTTGTTTAGTGGTATTTATATACCCTTACAACATTGGTTGGTTATGGGCTGCAGTTTAAAAACGATCATTCAGTGAATGGGGGAAGCTAAGTTAAAAAGTCCTTAATATCATGCTCATCAAGAGCAATTTTATTTATCTTTTCTGTAAATTTGTTTCAATTTTTTTTTCAATTAGGTAATACCTAATCATACTTTAAAGTTACAACATTGTAAAGCAACAGTATTGTTATTCTCAATTGAATATTCTCTATTTTCTATTTCCTTTTTAGTAGAAACAGCGCTACTCGTTGGAGATGACAACAATTTGTACACACGTGATGAAATTGGCTCTGTGTCCCTTGTTCCATATACCAATGGTATTATCGATATTGTTTTCATGGGTGACGATTCTTTACTCGCTGTGAATACAAATAACGAAATGGTGCTAAAGTATATAATGGATGATCAAGGATGGACTGAGATAGTACCAAACTCTTGCTGTGTGATTAGTGTAGATATCAAGGACAGCCTCATAATTGGTGTCGGAATCGATAACCATCTATATACAAAAAATAAATTGAATGATGTTTGGAATGGCCCAGTTGCAGACAGTGGATTTGTCCAAAAGGTGGTCATATACAGTGAAGGTGTATATAATACAATACTGGCAGTGGATACAAATGGTGTAATAGTAATAACATCAAGTGGCAGTATACCTTTTTGGCAAGATGCAGGAATCAATGAGAATGTGAAAGATTTTACGGTGGTATCATCGGGTTTATTTGATCAAATAATGCATGATGACCATTTCTTTCAAGCAATATGCTATGGTGAATTGCCAGATAGTTTTACTGCTATGGGTAGTTCTAGAGGATCTGGCAGCTCTGGTGAGTCGAGCAACGCTGGTTCACCAGGAAGCACAGGTGGATCTATTGATTCAGGCTCTGATGGAAGTTCTGGTGGGAATGTTGACTCTGGTTCAGCTGGAGGTTCGGGTGGATCTGTTGAGTCTAGCTTGGCTGGAAACTCTGACAGATTAGACGCTGCAACAGGTAGACAGTGATATATATATATATATATATATATATATATATATATATATATATTATAACTATATGCATGCTTCCGTGGGTAGTTGCAATTATTTACATGTGAGTACATTTAGTGAAAATTGTATTTTACCAAAATATACAAATTATTACTTCCTAACAAAGAATTGTCATAAATTCTATTACCGATTTCTAGAAGATTCTCACACTTCTGTTGCTATGCCTGGTGCACCATATTCGGCAAGTCACTATATAATAGGAGAAATGGATCAAAGCAACGTGATTGCTGTTGGCGAGGATGGTTATCTTTATACTGGAATCCCAATGGGTGACTACGCATATCAATACCATGGCCCAATTCATGGCTCATGCTGTGTGATAGACATTGCTAGCCTACCTGACAAAACACTTGTAGGTGTTCAAGAGGACAATAGGTTATATGTTAAATCAAATTTAGAGGAAGGTAGTTGGATTCGAAGTTATACAGATAGCTGCTGCATTGTAAGTGTGGACGTGTTACTTGATGGTGAAATAATAGCAGCCAGTATCGCAGATGTGGTACTTATTAGATCAAGTATAAATGCTGAATGGGATCTAACAATTCCTATTGGCATGCATATTGCAAAACTTACCTTAATTCCAAACAGTTTTGATATAATTGGGATTAGTGAAGATAGTACGCTCATTATTCATACTGACGGTGTGTGGAAGACACTCGACAACGACCTGTTTGTTCTACCTATCACTGACTTGACTGTAGATGAGGAAGGAAATTATGGTGCCTTGGTTCCCGGAATGTCAGAATTATCAAATGGGGACCAGATTCACATTGTCAGCATTGCACATGTCGATTTTCCTCTGCAAGGTATTTTCTAAACTTGTTTGTGCAACTCTGATATTTATATTGTCATTGCCAACACTGATTTGTTTTGGCAGAGTATAACTCAATGAATTTGGTAATGTTTTGATTAAATCATGGAGTACTATTATATTGAATATTGCAGTCACCAGACATTAGCGTTATTTTAAATAGAGACCTTTTCATTCAACAAAATAATGTTCAAATACAAATATATTGGATATTTAACACACTAGAACCATAATTCGACTGTCGTATTTTGCTCTCATACTGTTACATTCTAAAACTTTCGACTTTCAATTAAAATTAAAAGTAAGGATCAGCAATGATCTTAAAGCTTTACACTGTCATATTGCATTACAAATATCACACTTAGCACACGACATGTAATAAAATACCAAGTCAATCAAACTGATTCGAGTGAGACAAGTGCAATAAATGTTCAGATGTGAAACAGGGACTAGATAATTAAGGATAAATTTACTGAGTCACGTTCATTGCATTTTCAGGTGTGAAACATGAACTAGCAAATTGAGAATAATTGTATTATTTCATTTTAATTCAACTATTATATTTTCATTCATTTTAGATTATAAGGGTTCTCCTCAGACGATAGGTAAGTTGAGAAAATCAAAATAAACCCTATAAAAACTAGCAATAAAAAACAATTATTCTGTATTAATGTTTGCAATTTAAAATCAATTATATTAGCTACGCTGTTATTTATTATTTTGTTTGTCGTCCAGAGAATAATTATCACTGCACATATACATTATATAAAAAAAACAGTACATCAATGTTTTGCCAAATGTCACTCAAAATCACATTTACTGGTTCTAGTTAAATTGTATCTTTGTTGACAGACTACCAGGACATTTCTACTAGTGGTACTTTCAATGGCAAACATGGTTCAATTTCTTCTGAAAACAGCGGATTAGGTAAGATACATTCAATACAAAACATTCCTTGTTCACGAACAGGAATTAATAAATAAGGCAGTTTTACCTGGATTCAAGTAAATATCACTAGAATTTTTATCTCACATTCTAGGTACTGCGACCAAGATTGTATTGCCGCTGATTATAATTGCTTTACTGATTGCGGGATGTATTGGTGTATATTACTACAGAACAAAACACTTGTGGCTTGGTACGCCATGACACCACACTCCATTTTCCTTCCCAGAGTTCCTTGCGGTTAGAAAAATGTACGTGTCACTTGTTAAGTCGCTTTGCAAAAAATCCTGTTTTCAGGTCCTTTAGATCGTTTTATTTTTTTGTAAACCCTGGCAATTTACATTATAATAATAAGTGTTTTTACCTTAGCAAGGAGAATTGAATTTGATTATTTACGGAACCAAAAAAAAATTGATGACATATGTAAATGTACTTATTTGTATTGTTGTTTTATTTACGACGAATAATAAAATTAGAATGCACTGTAAAAAAAAAAAAAAAAAAAAAAAAAAAGACATATGTAAATGACATATGTAAATGGGATTCCGATGGTCTGTTTGTATTTTTGTACTTGCATTCATTGTCCTTTTAAATAACTGCGTATTCTGTGGTTTGCATTATTTGCTGTGGTATGTCTCCATGTCGCCATGTCTCCCCATTGTCTGTTGCGTATTACTACTAGTTTCATTGATACCCCGATAGTACCTCGTCTTCTACTCCTTGTGGGTGACATTGAAACCAACCCAGGTCCTCACAGTGATATCATCAAAACTTCTTGGTCAATTACCTACACGATGTTAACATCAAACAAGTTGAACTACAATCAACATGTGACAGTTTTAGCGATCAGTTTGACGACCTTCGCATTTCACTTGCTAATGTTGAAGACAAAATCAAAGACAATGATCAGGTAAATCGATTAAATTTGAAAGCAATTGATCAGACACTTGATGTAATTATCACAAGAATAGATAAGAATGAAAAAGATGTTGATGATCTGGAAGGTCTCTTAAGACGGAATAATGTCTGATTTTATGGCATTAAATCGGAAATCAACGAAACAGCTGACGAATGTAAAGAAAAGGTAGCATCCATGTTAAATAGTCATGTTCATGGTAAAACTTGGTCAAAACGTGATATTGAAATTGTACATCGTACAGGAAATGCGGATGAGAGCCACCGACCAATTATTGGTCAATTCCAATACGGAGTGGATACAGTTATTGTGCTTTCTGCGAGATCCGAGTTAATAAAGTTGATATATATAATGATCTAATTAAACGTCAACGTAAAACGCTATCAGATTTGAAGAACAAGAGAAACGCGGTTATTTAAAAAAGGGAAAACTGTTCATCATAGAGAGCTCTAGGCAAAGGAGTCATAGTAATGTTACTTCAATTGTAAATCCTGTGCAGTTTACTACCAATCATCGTCCAATGACAAGATATCTAGCCCGTGGCAGTGGTCATATGAGAAAAGAATAACAAACCGGCCATGTCCCAAAAACCTTGAAACTTAAAATCTCTCGCGTGGAATATTAGAGGTTTAAAATACAAATTACCAGTAGCTGACTTTATCAACTATTTGATGAAACATGATATCATTGTTTTGTCTGAGACTTGAGCTGAGAGTAATAACCGATACGATAACGTTGTTTCCTGATTTTGAAGTATTCAGTAAATATCGCTTACTGGTCGTTTTTCTGGGGGAGTTTGTGTACTAGAACGTAATATTTTAAAACAATTTATCAAACATATTGTTTGTCTCCTACATGATTGTATTTTTCTGCAATTGAAAGGCGACCTGTTTAATATTGACAATGACTTTAATAAAAACAATGGTATTGAAGTCTTTGAAAATCAACGCATAAATATTCTAGCTACTTTGCCCGATGATTTATTCTCAAGGAAGAAATGTAGGATTTGTCCTCTTTAATTCATACTAATATTGGCTTGAATTTTGACCTTTTAAATAGACCAATTTCCAACGACGAAATATACCAAATCATAAATTCATTAAAACCAGGCAAATCATCTTGATGACATTATTGGCTAATATTTTAAATCAACAAGTGATCAAATAATTCCCTATTTAGATATTCTTTTTTATAGATTGTTTACAGTCGGATATTTCCAACACTTTGGTCTAAGGCTATTATAATACCAATTTTTAAGAAGGGTTCCACAAACCTTCCTGGGAATTATAGAAGGATTTCTTTTCTAAGTATTTTCAGTCATTGACGCATTTACTAATATGTTTCATTCATTGGTCGTCGCAATTCTAACGTATGCCTCTGAAATCTGGGGATACCAACGTTATGAATATTTAGAACGCGTTTAAATATTTGCATATAAAATGTATCTGGGCGTAACCAAAAATGCACCAATGTCACTGTCTTGGGGGGAATGTGGGCGTTACCCAATTTAGTTGTTAATCGCAAAGAAATGTATTAAATATTGGGCCAAAGTGATTAATATGCCATGTCATCGTTTCCAAAATAAATGCTTTATGAAAATGAGCTTTCGGCTCTACGTTTAAAACATACCTGGGTTAACGAGGTCAAAGAATTATGTAATTTTCATGATGCTTGGGAAACCCAACAAGCAACAAGTCTGTAACATGGATGATTTTGTTAAGTTATTCACTTCACGTTTTAAGGAAGTATTATTTTCTGAATGCTATTACGAAATCTGATCACTTGATAAATTAATTACTTATCGGAGTTTCAAAACCAGCCTAGAACCCAGGAGATATCTGTCACTTGTAAATACTCAATCTTTCATAGAGTAAAGTTGTCACGTTTACGCAGCTCGTGTAACCATTTACGTATTGAAACTGACAGAAAAGATAATATTTAAAGATTGTAATGAAATTGAGTAAGATGAGTAACATTCTGTTCCTGTCTGTCCTTCTTTTCGAGACCTTCAGATTTAACCCATTATTACTTTCTGCCTCCATCACTGCACAAAATTGTCTAATGACCTCTGTAAATGCCACTCTACTCAAAAGATTTTCAGTTTTGTTATTTCATTCTTTAAGACTAAGATGCGATGTGATTTATTTATTTATTTATTTATTTATTTATTTATTTATTTATTTATTTATTTATTTATTTATTTATTTATTTATTTATTTATTTATTTATTTGGGTCACTGGCCTTATAGTACAAATAAGAACCAAATATATATATGGAAAACAATATGAAAAGAAGGAAGCTGCAAATGAAAAAGGCGTCAAACCAGACAAACAAGGAGGCCAAGCAGCACGATTAAAAAAATAATGGAGCATTATAATAATATAATTTATCTATTCAGCAAAATACAGTAATTTCAATACGTCTCATTTATTTACATTAATATTCATAGATTATGCTGTTAAATTGAAATTCGGCAAACCATCAGTCTAGACTGAATTTTTGGAAAGACCGATAGTGTCAAGTAACACTAATTGGGTTATCAGTTTAAATAATGAATGCTATACTGTGATAATATTCTACTGTGAATTATGTTGAGAACCAGATTGCTATCTGTGACTTATGTTTCTATCCTAAAACTTACGAACGAACAATTATGCAATGCAACAATAAAAATAAATAGTTATCCGGAATTAAGTAAAACTAACGTCATTATACATCGGCCATGAGAAAACACGAACTTTGAGAAAACATCCAACAAAAGTTAAGCTTTATAGAGCCTCCGCGGCTACAAAATTTGTACAACGAAAAATGCAATATTGCATATTGGATATTGCACGCTATTATAACTCACTCGTTTTCAAAACACAGTTCTCATATGACGTTTTACAAACTTCGTGTATATGCGAGTTACGTAATCTATCACTTGGTTCTGCCAAGGTTACCACTGTCATGCACTGAATTTGCTGTTTTTGTTATTAGCATTTATTGTGAGGAAGTTATTTAGTTAATTGACAAAAAATCCTTGAAGCAAATGTTATTTTGGTCTGGTCTAGTATCATTATCTTAGAATAACATATTTATAGCAGTGTACTTTGCAATATGCTTAATAGGTGTATCTATTTAAAGAACAAATAATACTTAATATACCACTGAGCAATAATCCCACTTAACTGATATTTCCTGAAGCCAGTATGCACAAGCCTGTGATGTTTAAAGGGCATGATCTCAGTTGTATTACAAGTAATTGTATATATTATTAACATCTATTTATTTGTGTTCATTATGTTACATTGCAGTTATTATATTTATGTATTTAATGATATCTAATATCCTAATGTCACTTACTATAGTATCGAATAAAAGAACTGATGACATTAGACATATACCTTGTGTCAACACTGATTGATTACGTTTCAGAGAGAAAATGACCATGATTTTCAGCATAAGTTAACACATTTGATTATGAAAATTGATTGATCGTGGTATTTCAAAATGGTTGATTAAATATATGTTCGATAGGTAATGTGTTGTTGATTTATCCACCTACTTTCAATCACATCTCATTATCGTGACAAATCATGCACAATTAATATTTCGTAATTATTTAACTGTAGTGATATTTAAACTACTAAGAAAATCACAGTCTCTCTATCTATTACCGTGCCGTGGTCGCTATATTGGGACGTGTACTTCTTCGCCAAGCCGGAAACTGCGTGAAATTTCGAAAGATGTTGTCTCCACCATAATTAAAATTAGAGGCTACTTGAAGAAACGAGTGAGGTCGTGATTTGCTCCGATAATAGGCCCCCGAAGCGTATACACGTTCGGAGCCATGTCGGGGCTCAACACTCTCGGAGTTCAACCCCGACGATTTATTGTAGCCGAACTTAGCTCTAGCTGAACGCGTATACTGGGCAATTTTTGCTGGCTCGAGCCGTAGGGCTCTGATAAAATGTTTTCGTGTGAACGTTGCATATGTAGACAGAAAACGGACTGTATTTTTTTTTAATAATTTCTCTTGAGCGACGTCACAACTTTGGCATCCTGATCATTTTATATCGCCACTTGTCGCAGTGCCAGGGGTTGTTTTAGAGTTCCGGTCTGTGTATAAATATTCACGAAGCAATTACAGTCGTTCTGAGAATTATTCGGACAGTCAGTTAACAATATATCATGGAACATTTGAGTCTTTTTCCAATCTAGTCTGGATGGCGCCGTTGTGTTGAAACGCCCAGAATTGGGATCATTTCATAATATTGCTATATGTGGGTAAAACGCTGTTTTCAA